ATATTGGCTAAACTGGATAGTCTCTACGAGAAAGAATTAATAGACACATATCAGATATCCGAAAAGGCAATACACAGAAATCTGTTGGGGAACATTTTAACTTGCCCAGGCACTCATTAATGGATCTCAAAGTCACTGTATTGTTTCAGGCCAACTCCACAGGGAGGCCTCAGAGCTCAACTTCATTTACAAGTTTGATTCCTTCAACAGAGGTATGAACAAAGAGCTTGGGTGTATGGCTCGCTACATTCCACATCCTAATGACGTATGGCGTGTCTAGACTACAGAGCTTTTTTGAAAAAAGTAGCCTATTTTCGAAAAAATTGTACTTGCGTCTACACTGCCGCCGCGTTCTTTTGAAATTAAATCAAAAGAACGCAGCAGTTTTTTCGATGGCGGTAAACCTCATTTTACAAGAAATAATGCCTTTTTCGAAAGAGATCTTTTGAAAAAAGGCGTGTGTGGACGTGGGGGAGCCTTTTATTTGTTTTTTGTTTTAAAAAGAGGCCTCTGGGAAAAGCCCTGATGGTCACTCCATCTATATTCCTTGCACCTCTATTGTTCCTGTCTGCAGCCATGTTTTAAAGGCACAGGCACCCGGCCAGCCATTTGTATCAGGAAACCAACCAGACCACATGGCTCTTCTTGTCACGGTGTGACTCAGCCATGTCACAGCCCTAAGGCCTGCCTGGCCCTTCCAGGGAGACAATAGAGGACCCACCCAGGGGTACCAAATGGTGGGCACCAGCATGGTCCGGGCCAGAGATCAAGACTCTACTTGAGCTCTGGTCCAAGGAGGAATTCCTACAGGACCTCCAGTCATGCCACAGGAATGCAGACATTTATGGGCACATGGCCCAGGGACTGGGCAGGAGAGGGCACCATCCCCGCACTCTGGATCAAGTACAGGCCAACATCAAAGAACTGCAGCAGGGGTATGCCAAGGCCCGAGACCAGAGCTCCCGCTCTGGGAAAGCTCCAGCTATTTCCTGTACTATGTGAACCTGGATCACATTCTGGATGGTGGGGAAGTCCAGACTCCACTGCATCTGGTGGAGTCTTGGTTAGCACGACACATCGTGGAGCAACCTGAGCAGGAGCACCAGCAATTAGGAGAGACAGGAGAACGTCATCTGGAGCTGGAGGAGGAGGACACACAGTGACCCAATCCCTGGAGCTGGTTCCCCAGACACCAGAGGCTTCCCATACATCTTTGGACATTGGAGAGGGAACATCAGGTGACTGCTGTGAGGTTGTGCCACACATAGGGTAGGGGAGGCGGGTGCACAGTGGCTGCTGCACAAGCGACACGTGTAATGCTCAGCCTGGACAGCGTGCAGCTGGCCGTGTATGTGCAACCACATGCAGTGCTAGTGTGCAACATGTGGGTGTGGGACATGTGGTGCCAAGAGCCATTCCCAGAACACAGACGGGTGGGTTGGCAGTGTAGGGGGGCATATGGTCCCAATGGCACTTTGGGGCCCCTGTGAGGCTGAGGCTGCTGCCCAGCTCACACATGGTGTAACTTGCAGAACCTCTGAGTCCCCTGTCTGAAGGAAAGTCCCTTACAGCAAGGGCATGCCCTTGGGGACAGCGGGTGGATGGGTAAATGATTATCTCTTCTTTTTTTCCTCCACAGCTAGACCACCCACACAAGAGGGTCGCAGCACACCGGCCCCACCACCATCCTGGGCACATGGCACCCACAGGCACTAGCATCTGTACATGGACATTTTAAAACAACACGAGGCGGTCCTGCAGGACCTGAACCAGACCCTGAAAGAGAGGACGCAGGCAGAAGCCATGTGGCATGACCGTCTGCTGGACGAGCTCATCCAGCAGCAGACTTGCATCTGTGCCACTATGCTGGAGGTCCTTGCCTTGCCTGCTTCTGTCCCTGGTACTGCTCCTTCTGCACACCATGATCCTGGCCCACCGAACCCCCATTCCCCACCTGCACCCCCTTTTCCCCTTGCACCTCTCCTCCCCAGCTCCTCTTTTCCCCCCAGTCCACTCCCCTCCTGTCCAGCACACTGTCACCCCACCCAATCCCAAGGCCATGGCGGTCCCCGGATGTGAGGCGGTAGGAGCTTGTGGTCAGGGAAACACTGACTGACCTGAACCCCCTCCCTCCATCCAGGTTTTCAGCCCCCAACCATCCCAGTTACAGAAAAAGTTGCTCATTGAACAAAATGTTTATTTTTGATTCAAAAAGTTTGCTTTTCCAGAAAACAATGTATAATAAAAATAACAATGTATATATTAGCAACATTTATCAATTTTCAGTTATTGATATTGATTACAATATAAAACAAATGAATGTTTACAAACAAAACCTGGTGTTTCTCTCTTATTTCTGGAAAAAGAGCCAGGGTGAGGATTGTAGAGGGAAAGGTACTGGTGGGCCAGGCGCAACAGTCAGTGGGCTCCTACTGAGAATCTCTCCCTCAGGGTCTTCTGGATGCGAATGCCAGACTGGTGAGCCTGGCAGATGTCAGCTGTCCGGGGCTGCTGGAATTGCCTCTCCTTGCCATCAATACCTGTCCCTCACCCCGGGAGGAAGGCCTTCCCTTTTCTCTCCATGAGGTTATGGACAACGCAACATGCGGCCACTGCCTCGGGGATGTTGCGTTCCCCCATATCCAGCCATGTGAGCAAGCAACGAAGCCTCCCTTTAAGATATCCGAACGTGCATTCCACCTGCATGTGAGCCCGGCTAAGATGCACATTAAATTGCTACTTGCTTGCATCTGGGAGACCCAGACACCATCATGGGAGGCTTTGCTGGGTGGCCGGTGTAAGGCTTCATAAGCCACAGTATCAGGGGGGTAGGCTGCATCAGCCACAATACACATCAGCATCTGCACGTCCCCAAGCGCAAGGTGCCACTGGGGGAAAAATGTTCCTGACTGCAGCCTACAGTAGAGGTAGGAGTTCCTGAAGATGTGGGCATCATATGCCCACCCTGACCACCCGACACAAACTGTCCCTGGTGGTTGACCAGGGGCTGGAGCACCATTGAAAAGTAGCCCTTCCTGTTAATGAATTGGACTGCTTGATGGGGCGGTGCACGGATTGGGATGTATGTCTCATCGAGCGCTCCTCCACAGTTAGGGAAGCCACGCCCAGCAAAGCCTCCCACGATGGTGTCCCGGTCTCCCAGATGGATGAGCCTGTGCAGCAGCTCTGAATTGATGGCCCTCACCACCTGCAAAAAGAGACAAATAGACAGACAAAAACCAGGGAGTTAGATAGGGTGCCTGAGCCCTTGGGAGGAGAACCCCCCACTGCAACCCTTCAAACAACCCAGGATTCCCCTCTTCAGCACAACCTCTCTCCCCCGAGCAGTGCCCAGTGAGCTCCCTCCCACTCTCACTCCATCCCCCACTGCCCCTTGCCCTTTCCTGACAGTCCCCATTTTCCACCCCCTCCCGCCCCCCACTCAGCAGGGACTATCTCCTGAGAAAGACTTACCTCCATCAAAACGGCCATGACAGTAGACCTCTCCATGCCAAACTGGTGTTCCACTGAATGGTAGCTGTAGGACGTTGTGAGCTTCCACAGGGCAATAGCAACCTGCTTCTTCAGGGAGATGGCTGGTCGCAGGTGGGTGTCCTGTCATTGGAGCGCAGGAGTGAGCCAGACACACAGCTCCTGGAATGTGGCATTGCGCATACAGAAGTTGAAGAGCCACTGCTGGTCATCCCACCGCTCCATGATGAGCTGGTCCCAACAGTCGGAACTGGTTTTGAGCCTCCAAAAACGCTTCTCCAAGAAGAAGTTTGGAGGCAAGGGCATTGGTCCTGCATCCTGGGTGAAGGTTTCATATCTCTGGTCTGGGTCCAGATGGGGCAGGAGCATCATGACAGTCTCATGTAGATGCAGCAGAATTTGCAGCATGGCTGTGTCGGGCCATTGCCTGCCCAGGGGTAACTCTGGCTCCATGGCAAAAAACAAACAAGCACCAGAAAAACCAACAGAAAAGCAAATGCTTGGTGTCCATGCAAGTTGGGCAACCAGAGCAAGCACTGCAGCAGCTTTGCTGTCCCTCTGAGAGGTAGGCAAGCCAGCAGCAGCAGCAGCAGCAGCAGCAGAGAAACAGCTGTCCTGGAGGGGTCCCTTAAGCACAAGTCTCTGCAAAGGGCATGCAGCAGCACCCGGAAGTCAATGCTGGCCCCAGGCCCTCCCAGAAGTGGTTCCGGGTGCCATTTTTTTTCGAAATTTTGTCCAGGCAGTCTGGATGCACTCTTTCGAAAAAGCGAATCGCTTTTTCAATCCACTTAGTGCCATCTAGAGGCTCCTTTTTGAAAGAAGCTTTTTCGAAAGAAGCTTTTGAAAAAGCTTCTATCGAAAGAAGCGTGTAGTCTAGACATAGCTGTAAAAACAAACATACAAAACATGCATTCTTAAGACCATTTAGTACCTTCTCTATTAGCTTCATGTGGCATGGACACTCTAATTGACGATTTCTTTCCTTCTCTCTCCCCATCTGCTATTTATTTAGAAACTGGACCTTTAATAACTCCATTCATCTGAAGAAGTGGATTGTGCCCACGAAAGATCATGATACCATCAACATGTTTTGTTAGTCTCTAAGGCACTGCCAGACTATTCATTGTTTTTTTAGTGGTTAGACTGTGCATCTAACCATTTCTCTTACCCTAAGCTAGAGCTTTCCTATTTCAACTATTTCCATTTTGAGATGAAGCAACCATAACCAAACATAGAAGATCAGCTGAGATTATACCACCAGTTTATATAATGTCATTGCATTTTTTACTATGCTGTTACCTGGTTCTTTCTTAATACATTCCAGCATTTTATTAGCTTGTTGGATTGCTGCTGCTCATTGAGCAGACACCTTCATTAAATGATCATGATTACACCTAGACATTTTTCCTGTGAGGTTAATTCAGAACCCATCAGTATGTTTCAGTACTTTAAATTTATTTCTTCTACACAACATCACCTTGCAGTTGTCAATGCTGAGTATTGTCTGTCGTCATAGGAACCCAGCCACGTGCCTGCTTAAATATTTTCTTACAGTCCTTCACAACTAGATTAATGTAAATAATTTGTGTGTCATTGGCAAGTATCCAAATAACTAATGACTATCTTAAAGACTGTAAATACTTTGAAAAATATCAGACTTAGAAAACAATTTTTAAAACAAAAGTAGTTAAGGACATAGAAGTAAATGGTAATTTGGATAAAATAAAGCATAACTTTACAAAAGGAAGATCCTGACAGACTAACCCAATCTCTTTGAGAAGATAATTCTTTTAGACAAAAAAAAAATGCAATAGATCTAATCAACTTGAATTTCAGTAAGGCATTCAATGTAGTATTCCCTCTAAATTGCCTGGCAGCACAGCTTCACTGGGATTAATCAGTCCCGCCCAGTCAGAGGCTCAGGACACCAAGTACAGAGCTGACTGACTGATCACCTGTGAAGCTGTTCTGCTAGGCAGCTTGGAGGGAACACTGCATTCAATACAGTTCCACATGGGTCATTATTAGTTAACCTGGAGAAGTTGGGGTTTAAGATGAGAACTGAAAGATGGATAACAAATTGGTTAAAGGGTATTACTACAATGCGTCACACTGAAAGATGAACTATCAGTTGGGAGGGAGATTACTAGAGGAATTCCTCAGGGATTGGTTTTGGGACCAATCTTATTTAACATTTTTGTTAATGATATTGAGGGTATGCCTACATTTGCACCCTCTTTTGAGAGAGGGATGCAAATGAAGACATTCAAAATTGCAAATGAAGCCGGGATTTAAATATCCTGCACTTCATTTCCATATTTGTGTTATGGAGCTATTTCGAAATCGCGCTATTTTGAAATAACAGACGCTGTTAAGATGTGGTTATTTTGAGAGAAAACCCTTCTCTCAAAATAACTGGTAAACCTCATTGTATGAGGAATAAGGGTTATTTTGAGAGAGGCGTTTTCTCTCGAAATAATCGCGTCTTAACAGCATCTGTTATTTTGAAATAGTGCTATTTCGAAATAGCGCCATAACGCAAATATGCAAATGAAGCACAGGATATTTAAATCCCGGCTTCATTTGCAATTTCGAATGTCTTCATTTGCATCCCTCTCTCGGAAGAGGGTGCAAGTGTAGACGTACCCTGACACAAAACATAGGAGTGTGCTAAGAAAAATATTTGGATGACAGAAAGTTGGAAGGTACCACCAAAAGAGTGGAGGGCTAGAATATCATACAAATCTGGATGACCTTGAAAACTGGAGTAATAGAAATTGGATGAAATGTAATAGTGCAAAGGTCAAAGTCATGCTCTTAGAGACTAACAACAAAATTTTTTGCTATAACCTGGTTATAGCATGCACTGGTTGATCATAGGATGTATATGAGCTGCCAATATGACGCAGCCATTAAAAAAGCTAATGCAGTCCTGGGATGCATCAAACAACTTATTACCAGTAGAGATTGGGAAGCATAATTGCCATTGTACATGGTAAGATCTCATCTGGAATACTGTGTGAATTCTGGCCTCTCATGTTTAAGAAAGATTAATTCACACTGGAAGAGGTGCAGAGAAGTGCTACTAGGATAATCACAAAAATAAAAAGCTTACCTTATGAAAGCAGACTTAAAGAACTTGGATGGTTTAGCCTTATCAAAAGGAGGCTGAGGGGAAATATGATTGATCTCTGTAAATAAATGAGAGGGCCAAATATCAGGGAAGGAGAGGAGTTATTTAAATTAAGCACCAGTGTAAGCACAAGAAACGGATATAAACTGGCCATCAATAAGTTTAGGCTTGAAATTAGATAAAGGCTTCTATCAATGTAGCTGATCTAAAACTGCTAGCAGGAAATACAGCCTCTTCCCGACTTATGAACTGGTTACGGACCAAGCATTTGGTCATAACTCGGTTCGTTCGTAAGTCGGACCCCATCGAGTTACACATGACTGCACTGTTCGTAAGCACGGATCGCGTTTGTAACTCGGGGTCCACCATTTTCGACAGCTTTGGTCATAACTGCAAATAGTCGTAAGTCGACCGTTCACAACTCAGGGACCGGCTGTATCTCCAATGGCCAGTGATGTGACACTATATGGTCTCCAGGAGTATGTATACACTTGCACCCTAGTTCAAACTAGGGATGCAAATGTAGGCAACCAAAATTGCTAATGAAGTGGGGATTTAAATATCCCGTGCTTCATTAGCATGATCTCGCTGGCACGTTACTCTGCTCAACAGCTGTTTGGAAAGTGAAAGTGCTCACTGGGACGTGTTAGTTCGAATCAAACCCCTTGGTTCGAACTAATGTTACTCCTCATTTTTTGAGGAATAACGTTAGTTCAAACCAAGGGGTTTGGTTCGAACTAACGCATCCCAGTGCGCACTTTCACTTTCGAAACAGCTGTTGTGCGGAGTATCGTGCCGGCGAGATCATGCTAATGAAGCGCAGGATATTTAAATCCCCACTTCATTAGCAATTTCGGTTGCCTATATTTGCATCCCTAGTTCAAACTAGGGAGCAAGTGTAGAAGTACCCTAGGTTACTACAAAGAATTGTTTCCCAGGTGTCTGTCTGGTGTATCATACCTACATGTTCAAGGTCTAATGTAGTAGTGGGCAACTTGCACCCTGCGGGCCTCATGTGGCCTATAGGGACTGTATGTGTGGCTTGCAAGATATTTTGTTTACCAATGTCCACATGCAGGGTTACCAGATTCCACTGATTTCCATCCGTGCAGTTTTTTTCCTATTGGTATTACTAAAGTGACACACTTGCAAAGCCCATGAAGTAAGGTACATGCTGATTGCACGCAACTTTGACTGCAAGAGCCATGCATTCCCTCTGCATCCAAGCAAAGCAAAGCATTGCTAGAGATCAATCGTCACACCCTGCACAATTTTAGATATGCAAGCATATTTAGCAAAACTACTCTATCCTGGAAGACTGTCTTGGTTATGACAATTTTCCAGCCCACCGAGATGGAAAGCCACTTATGTGGCCCACTCAATATCCTAGATGGCCCATCACTGGTCTAACAAACTACCATATTTGAGGTCAGGAAGGAATTTTTCCATGAAGTCAGATCGGCAGAGACATTGGGATTTTTTCACCTTCCTGAGCATCATGGAGTAACTTGTAGTTTTAAACTATTGTAATTGGTGGATTCTTTGCATCTCAGAGTCTTTAAATTATGATTTGAGGACTTTAATAACACAGTCAGAGGTGGTATCTAATGCAAGAATGGGTGGGTGAGGTTTTGTAACCTGCAACGTGCAGGAGGACAGACTAAGCAAGGGTAGGCAATAAGTGGTTTGTGTACTAGACACAGTTCGCCAGAGTTAGCTTCTGTCAGGCCAGACACTTTATTTACCTGAGCCTCTGCAGGTGTGGCTGCTCGCAGCTCTTTAATAACACAGTCAGAGGTGGTATCTAATGCAAGAATGGGTGGGTGAGGTTTTGTAACCTGCAACGTGCAGGAGGACAGACTAAGCAAGGGTAGGCAATAAGTGGTTTGTGTACTAGACACAGTTCGCCAGAGTTAGCTTCTGTCAGGCCAGACACTTTATTTACCTGAGCCTCTGCAGGTGTGGCTGCTCGCAGCTCCCACTGCCATTGGAAGCTACAGGAAGAGGTGGCTTAGCACATGCGGCTTCCCACAGCTCCCATTGACCGTTAATGGTGAACTGTGGCTAACAGCAGCTGTGAGTGACTGTACTTGCAGATGCTTAGGTAAATAAAGCATCTGGCAGCCCACCAGGCTTCATATCCACTGGACTAGATGATCATGGTG